CTCTTGGCAGTGTAACTGTTAATTGTCATCCACTTCATTGGCTTGAGAGACTCTTAGAAGATCAACAGACTTCTGGTGCCTGAGGAGGCCATAGTGGCACGACCTTGGGCCTATACGTGTTCCTGGCCCTTTCCTCTTGTATCATTCTCCCACTCTTTGCTCCCTGAATGTGCGGAATTGAGTCACTTTTCTCCCACCAGCAGCTTGCTCCACCGTGAAACCTTTGAACCTGGGAGGAGCAAAAATAGACCTTTCCTCCTCTGGGTTGGTAGCAGCTGGCCAACATTCTCCAGCAGCAGGAGAGACTGGAAAGTCAATACAGATGACATGCAATTTTTTTTTTAATTTTTTATTTTTGTGTGTGTTTATGTGTGAAGCAGATAAGTACTGGTCCCTAAACATGTCACTGATAAAACAGGCTTCTGGGTCTTACTAGGGATTATTTTCCAGTCTATAGTGTACAATATGCTAGCTATCTTATTCAATTAGCACAATGCCATCAGTATAGTAGGTCATTATGATATTCTGGGATGTCACAATGTTACATCCCATTCTTGATGTCTGTTCAAGAATTCCAACTGCTTTTGGTCCAGTTCTATGAAGACTTGAAGACTTTCATGGAGGCAGCTTGGCCCTGAGTCTCCTCTGGTATACAGGCCCATTTGAAATTGTTGGAACAGGTGTGCTGAAGGGGAAAGAGCTGCTCCACTGTATTGTGGGACTGATTTGCTTTTTCCTTCCCTAACAAGTATGTTATCTTTGTTTTTTTATAATATATTTGGTACAAGGTCTTACTATGCAGCTCGGACGCGGACGTGGACTCGTAGTGGTCCTCATGTTTCAGCCTCCCCAGTTCTGGGATTACAGGTGTGCACCACTATGCCGTTTTGGTGGCTGGTGCATCTGGGGCAGGGCTGGCATGGCATGTGGTACCAGTACCTGGGATGGAACCCTGGTCCTTAATCTTGCCAGGCAGGCGCTTACACAGCTGAGCCAACGCCCCTACCCTCTTTTGACTTTTTATATTATGTGTAAATGTTTGAT